AAATATATGCCATTGTTTCTGAAGAAGTTATTAATATTTGGACAAAAGCTTCGATTCCAATCGTAACTAAGGAACGGATTATTCAGTTACTAAAATATTATTTCGAAAAGTACCTCAGTTTGAAACGACACCCCAAAATCAAACGAAATAACAGTTTTGAAAACAAAGTGAAGTATTTTGTAGAGTCAGCTGAAAATCTTTTCGACGTTGCTGCTTGTAAATGTATTTCTATTCAATCTTGTTCCTGTTTAAAACATAAAAAAGTTCCCATCAATGATAGAGACTTTCTGTTGGATCAAAGAAATGACAGGAAAATGGTTATAGGCGGTGTTGATAAGAAAGAAACTGCCAGGTTCATAAAACGACAGCAGAGAAAAATGGAAGAATCAATGAGGGCAACAAAAAAGTTGTGTGTTACTCAAACGACCGATTCTATATCAGAAAATTGTGATGAAGAAGCAGTGCCTCACTCTTTCTCAACAGAGACACCGTTGACTTCCACGTTTAATAGAAATACGTTGCCGTTGCCAACAGTTGCTAAAGTCAGTGATAGATACGGTTTATCGATGCGATCTGTTGCTGCTGTTGCTTCTGCCGTTTTGGTTGATGTGGGTTTGGTTTCTACCGAAGATCTGACACTGGTTATTGATAAAAACAAAATCCACAGAGCTGTATGTAAAGCCCGAAGAGATGCTTCAAAAGATGTTGCAGGTATTGTTGTAAATAGCATTTACTTTGATGGACGAAAGGACAAGACCCTGATAAATGAGAAAATAGGGAATCGTTACCATCGCAAAGAGATTTTGGAAGAACACATCTCATTGTTATCAGAACCCGGATCAATTTTTTTGGGACATACAACGCCTAGTCGTGGCACTGCAAATGGAATTTTTACTTCGATCACAACTTTTTTTGAGGGTCAAAGTTTGAATTTAGATGCTGTAATTTGCGTTGGATGTGATGGAACTGCAACTAATACTGGCTGGAAGGGTGGCGTGATTCAATATTTAGAGGAGTATTTGGAGAGACCGTTACAATGGTGCGTTTGTTTGCTTCATGCCAATGAGTTACCGTTTCGTCACTTGTTCCTGACCATAGATGGTTCTACTTCGGGTCCTAGAGAATACTCCGGACCTATTGGAAAACAGTTAGTTGCTTATGAAAACAGCCCCACCGTGACTTTTTCTGGTATGAATGGTAATTTGCCTGACTTGCCAAAAAATGTAGTCAATGAATTAAGTACAGATCAAAAATATCTATATGAAATATGTCAAGCAGTATTAACCGGTTTCTGTACTCCTGAATTGGCAAACCGTCAACCTGGAAAAATGGCGCACTCCAGATGGCTTACTACTGCTAATCGTCTACTCAGACTTTATGTAAGTACGCTTAATCCATCAGAAAATTTACAATTGCTTGTAAACTATGTTGTTAAAGTATATGCTCCGATGTGGTTCAGTATTAAGCAAAAATCGTCTTTTAAGGATGGAGCAAAGCATATTTTTCAACTAATTATGTACTCTCGATTTCTACCCGAAAATCTAAGATCTGTTGTGGATACCGTTATCGAAAGAAATGCCTTTTTTGCCCACCCAGAAAACTTACTTGTGAGTATGTTGTTTGATGATAGAGATCACATTAGGGAGCTGGCATGGCGAAGAATAAAAAAAGCTAGAGACACTGAAAGTAACGATAAACGCAGAATATTTAAAACACCAAAAATTAACTTCTCTGCTAAAGATTACACCGATATTATTATGTGGCACGAATGTCAGGTTACAACACCGCCGGTTCTTCGGCATATTTCTACTGAGGACCTTCACATCATGGTAAAAGATAAAAGCTTGGATATTTTTGACTTTCCCTGCCACACACAATCTGTGGAAAGATGTGTTAAACTGATTACAGAAGCCTCGCAGAACGTAACTGATGCTACTTCTAGAGATAGCTTTATCAGAACCAGGTTGCAGTCTCGGGCAGAAATGCCAAATTTTGGACACAAAAATAAGTTCAAATTTTAAGTTTTTGTCATCAAATATAGGATCTATTTTGTTTGTTAAGTTGTTTTGAACCTTTTTCATTAATTTTAATAATAAAATATCTTTTAAATTTAATTTGTGTATTATTTGAAGTATATGATTTAGGTCTGTACAAACGTAAAATTTACAAAACTTTAAAGTCTAGTAGAGCCCTGAAGGTGACGTGCTATCGTATTTATTTTACTTTTTTTATAATCTCTGGAAAATTACGCAAATTTGGATACGTCTTGCGATAGTGTAGCTCAAAAAGAAATTTTTTTATGCAAAGACGGGACACCCTAATGGGCAGTGCCAAAAGGAATATGTTAACATATCCCTTTTTACACTAAACTTTATGTACTATTTTGTAAGTGCCTCTTTTGGAACAATCAACTTTACATACAAATTCAGCTACATTGACTAGTCCCCTTTTACACACAATTAAAACATACTTTTTTCAACCTATATTTGAGTTAATCCCGTTTTCATCAAAAATTGACTTGTCCCCTTTTTCACGCCCAACAGCGAATTGTATGAGTAAACTGTTTATAATTATGAATTTATTAATTTAAAATTTAGTTAATTTTATTTACGTTACATTTAATGAAGTTTCCTATTAATGTTGCAAATTTCATTTTATTGTAGTTTTGACACGACCAAAAATTGGCATTTGTAAAACATTGTAGTTAGTTTTAGTTAGTTTATGGTGTAACACTTTCAATAAACTAATACTTTTTTTTCAAGAATAGAGTTAATATCGAAAAAAATATGGATGTTCGAAATATCGAAAAAAAAAATCCAATGAATATTGCCAAATATCAGGATGGAGTGGCTTACTAGTTTTTTTATATAGAGTATGCCTTCTAAAATACGTACTTCCTAGTTGTAGTACACGGGCAACAATATATTGGCTGGAAGAGAAGTCCTTACAGTGTCATGCCGTGTACAGAAAAGTATAAGTGTATGACCGGATTTTTTTTACTTCGTGTTCTGAGAAAACTAGAAAAACTTATTTATTCGTAAACTATGAATTACTACGTGGAAAAAGCGGGTAAATCATCGTAGCGAAGCGACCACAGTAACTGGTAGAACTGTGACTTACGACGCTAGTAGATGGAATGCTGCAGATATTTCGTAAGGATTCTAGTGAAAAAAAACTTTCGGGATGTTTTGTTCGTAATTTTTCACAACGTTGATTGATTAAAATATTCATTAGAATCTTTCTATTTGTTTGTTACAAAATTCACATTGACGAAATGGTTGCTTACTTTATTGGTACATAATATCGTACAGTACATTCCGTACGTCCATTTTAGACCCTAAGGTAGATTAGTTGTCTTGATTTTAGGACTACATCTACTTTTGCCTGCCTTGAAGGGACTTCTTTTATTTTCTAATTGTATATAATGTCCGCAGTAATATGTTTAATGGATCAACTACATTCTTATAAAGAATTGTTCAATGGTAAGTACATTGATAAATAAAAGTAAATTTAAGTATGTTTCATCTTGTAAAAGGTTTTAAAGTCACTCCATTTCTTCTTTTTATTTGAAACTTGCATACATTTACAAGTTACTGCGCTTAGGAATTTAATAGTTTTCAAGGAATATTCTAAAAATAAAAAAACCCATGAACAAATATTTTACAGATTCTCTAAATATTATAAATATTTCTAATATTTCTGTATTTGTGACTGCGAATATACCATACTGTTGGAGCTTGTTGTTCCTTGCTTTCATAATGCGTAAAGGTGAGGTATCAGTCATTAATGGTGCACAATATTTGAAATTTTAGAGGTTACGTAGGAAGCATGGCGTTTCAGTTATTATATTACTAGCTAACCCGTCAAACTTCGTATCGCCTTAAAATAATGTATCAAAGTTCAATAAACTCCTCTTTCGAGTCTAAGTAACAGAAATCTCTGGGCAATGAAATGAATCCGGTCAATAGCGACTTTAACACTTCCAATATCTCACAAATGCTTGGAAAGCATAATTGCACTTTGACCTTGTTGCAAAAACACTCGCATATTATTTTTCAATTGGAGCGTCTTTATATGTCGCCACAAATTGGATGAATTAGGCATGCGTTTAATGACAATAAATTTAGTAATATTTTTTCTGTCCATCCCCAGCCTTCATCCGATTCGCGGAGACAAGAATACAGCCGGGGCAAGTATCCCTGCCTGTCTTAAGAGGCGACTAATGGGAAGGAATGAAGAGATGGAGAGTGGTCGTTCGAGATGTCGGGTTTGTAGAAACGCACGCAGGGCGCTTCGGCGTTACAGTCACCGGTCTACACTCCTAGTATCTGAGACGAGCCTCTCGTGGGACCATTCTACTTTCATTCCACAGAACCAAGGTGAGGTTAAACGTGCTGCGTCTCTGATACACCCTTTCCCCATTAAGGGTGTGGGGTTACGGCACGTCGTCACCTTGGGAGAGTGGTAGAGGAAAGCTCCTGGGCGTTTACCTGTCAAACGTGTGAGGTACCTTTCCGCCTCCGGGGGATGGGGGGGGATAACGGACGGTTGGGTGTGCGTACCACAACACAGGTACTACGGGGAGGGTGAAGCCCCGCGATGCTTCGCGCAACGCGCCACCCTCGAGTGTGTCGGATTCGTAGGGGTTAGTGGCTAGCTAACGGTCGTATGCCGGGGTCTGGCTGACATTTATTGTCTGGGGGTACACGAATTTCGTCAATGTCCTTAATGTCAATGTCATTAATCATTATTTAATGCAATAAAATTGAATTTGACGATTATTGTTATCATCTACTTGTAGATTATAATACTTTGCACAATAATCCTACTCTCCAGGGTTGCTAACACTACATTACCTTCCCATATTGATGTTCTTGTCAACAGCGCAATGTCATCTTCATAACGAATATTATTTATAACTTACTTGAGTCATTACTGTTGACATTATTGTCTTATATTATAATGTTTTTAATATACATAGTAATTCATAAACATTTTAGGTATGTATCACCGACACCTCCATTGCCTCCTCCACGGAGACTCTCAGAGAGCTCGTCGGTACCAGGTTCTCCACAGCACTTGCGAACCCGCTTTCACTATACGCCTGAACCTCAAAGACGACTTTTCCAAAAAGATGAAGTGTCATAACAGTGGTCCTATATGCCTTTAGTAAATGGGGGCACTTAATAGGAACGAGTTTTGTTTTTTGTTTGTTGCGTTAACAGATAGATGCAAACACCTGCGATTTTTTATTGATTTGAGGTGGAAAAAATGATTAATACTAGTGTTTGTTTGATGACATATATATTTTTTAAAGATTTGGAAAATCTTTGAAAAATTTTATGTAGTACTATTTATGTGGTATTCAATAATTTGAAAGTTTTACTGCAAACAGAGCAAAAACAACGTATACAGATATACTTTCCACAAAGTACTAGTAATCATTCCTTCATATTGCTCATAACACGAATTAATCCAGTTTCATGGTTCTTCTTTTTTCGTATATCTTGTGTTATTGTATAATGTATTGATTTTTCAGAAATTGGATTAAAACTTATTTCAGTTTTATTTACAATAACATTTGTTTTACAACATTTTTGTCAATATAATCTTATTCCTTAAATATATTCTCAACGCCTTTGCTTTTCTATTTTCCAATATTATATGAGAATAAAATAAAAAAATCAATAAAAACTTTTATTTTTTATTTCACTCAATCTCAAAGTCCGTTTAATACATACTTCATTTAATCACGTATTATATTCATTATTATGCATTTATTTTGTGTAACATTTTCATTACTATTTGAATTAATCGCGGAAATGTAGTACTAGTTAATAAAGAACATATTTAGAAAAGGAACAGATAAAAGTTGTGTAAAAATAAATGTTAATGTACACTACTTAGTAATTCCCCCAATAAGATATAAAATTATATTTTTTAGACAAAATTCTACCTTATTCATCAACATAGCCCCCTTTTAGACGGATTCCGATTCTATAACAATTCGATGTATTTTTTAGAATTATTATAACATCGTTTGAAGCTTGCAAACTGCCAGCAGACGTGGAGGCCAGATCTAAAAAATACAGTGAGCAATTCGAAGTGCAATCACTTAGAGTACAAGCTGAAGTATATTGTTTTTATGGTTTTGACAAATAAATCTTTTTTAAACTATAAGTACTCTTCATCTCTATAATCTCAATGGTCTCGGCACGTGCCAATTAATGCAGCAGTAGAAAAATATTTAAAAGTCCTGTTCTCATCAAGGAACTGTACATACCTTCACTGCTCCAATGTTGCAGGCCTTCTTGGAGTCAGGTTTCGTTACTTTTTCTTAAGTTAAGTTTTCTTACTGTCCACTCACTAATATTTACTACTCGGACCTCACGGATGTGTAGTCACTGCAATAAAGAGACGATTTCTTAACGACCTGTATGCAATAAAGAGATTCGAAATCCCTTATATCATTGGCAGACCTAACTTTACTCAACTATACCCAAAAAATTTCACGATTCATACTAATATATCCAATACTTTCTATCAAATGTTTGTTTATACTATTGACAACTCTTGTTTAGGATGCGTTTGTTGTGTTTTCAGTCTAGATATCATATTCTATACGCATTCTTGATAATTTTATTTTCATGTTCTAGAAAATAAATCATCTATTAGGCTTTCCATGTTGTATTTTGATTTGACCTATACTTTCTATGTACATCAGTAACACAATAACATTTTGTTTTGTAGCATGTGAAGTGGAGCGTTTCTCTCCACGAACATTTAGTAAAAATAATATGAACGGTCGATGATGCTGGTAAGATATCGTAATTAAAGTTATAGTACCAAATTTCAACCGAACGTACCATATTCTATGATATAAATAAATGAGTTACAAAATATCAGTTAAATTGGCTGAAACTAACCAGAGAGGTAGCTTTCATGCTGATCAAATTTCTCATTGCATCATTGAAAAACCATTTAGTTCCAAGATATGGAGCTTCAAAGAGTTTGACGTTAAATACAGCCTCCAAATCTTATTAAACATGAATATGGGGTCTGTATGACATGTCAAAATCCACTGTTAAAAAAATAAGTGGTATATACTGGGTTGGATAACCCTGTAGGATATCCCACTGATCCATAAGGAAAGTCCCACTAATAACGGGGACAGTGCTACAGAAATATCCCATTTTCTACATAGACGTCTATCTAATTTTGTGGGAAACTACGTATGCACAGAAGCTTTCAAAATAATGGTAATCTCTACAGAAGTCACAGGAGTGACTGCTGCATATGCAGAATTTGTTAGTGGTTTGCGCCAAAAGTATCAGTACAATGTGTACTGGCAGAGGAAGCACTGGAGGAACAGATATAGATTGGAAACGGAGAGAATGTACACATGCACAGTAGATATCAGTGAAACTACACCTGCACAGAGGGTACTGTAGGGACTGGCTCATACGCAAAAGTTTTAGCGAATTTTACGCATACGCAGTGGTATCAGTGAATCGTTCTCTCAACGTAATGCACTTGTTTGCACCCCGTCAAAAAATTCTACTTATGTGTCTGCTCCCACAGTACCGTCTTTATAGGTGTTTACAGGTACTTATTGCACGTGTGTACGCTTATGTGTATTTATATAATTGATACTGGAATATCCACGTTATTTAGTGGAACTGTCAATGTAGAATAGTAGGATATCCTATATATCGTACTATTCTACTCCATATCCGTGTTTAATGAGATTCAGATGCTGTATATTGAATGTGTGGGACGGCATGTTTCGAAATTTATAATTTTGAAAAATAGACTGAAAACTAACACTCTGCTCTGCAACCCAGAAAAAAATTATTTTTGAGTCTTGTGGCATGTGAGAACTTTGGATCAGCATAATCAAAGCTACCTCTCTGCAAAGTTTCAGCCAATTTAACTGAAACCACTTTTACACAGTACCGGGGTACTTTGAAGGTATTTGTAAATTAATCATTCACTTATTGCTAAAACTTTCAATTGTTATTGCTTTTATTGTCAACCTGGTATTAATCACGTCTGGTCTCTTAGGTTTGTTGTGAAAGAGAGGATGGTGAGTAACTATCTAGGATTTTATGGTATGTCAAAAATATTTTGAACAAAAACCTCCACGTAACTGCTATCTTACTTACTTACCTAAGTAGTTTAGTATGTGTTAACGTTGTTATTGACTACCTTAAGGTGGAATTTGAAGGAGTATTTCAATTTATCTAGATTATGCTAACGTAAGTTTATTATATGAGCATGTATCAGAAGTTGTGTTAGAAAACAGTAGAAAACGATATTTTAAACGAAGAATAGTTACGCGAAAAAGTTTACCTTATGCCAAATATTTCTGAATTTTTTTATATGAACCAATTTTTCATACTGTCTTATATTTAGTCTAGTATTACATTTTTAAAATGTATCAGTTTATTATTTATATTATATCAACATAATTTGTCAATATTGATACGACTTGACACTCTTTCTATGAACGGTTATTCACTATCTATTAAAAGAAAATATACAGTGTAAAGAAACCATTTATGGAATAAAAAATTTTGTGCTCTTATTTTTGAAAATTCTAAAATACTCTGGGACCCGTCAACTTTTAAATTCAAATGTCCGCTTGTTAAATGTAAATTTAAATGTATAGGGTGAACCACGCAAGTCTGGCATGACACATAATCTTTTTTAATGAAACACCCTGTATATTTTTATGTTTTTAAAAGCTCCTTGACAACCTGATCTGAACGAACTATATCATGTAGGATCTATTATGAATAATAAGAGCCAGTTTTTTCGCCTTGCCAGTATAGCCAAGCAAGCTACTGACATGCCAGTTACTAGCAAATGTGTTTTGAGCTTGCCAGATACTGGCCTATTTCAGCAACTGGCATGCCAGCTACTTTACCAATTTACTGGCATGTGTGTACCCGGCTTAATGCCTTGCGAAATATTAGTTAACTGAAGATACCTCTGATTAAATAAGTCTGACACTTCAACTTGACTTTTGCAATTATCTCCGTAACCGATCATTATTAAAATCTCGGTTAGGTTAGTCTCAGTTAAGTATTTCATTATTGCTTCTGCAAGAAATTAGTTTTTAATTAGGAATTTAGTATTTTAATGTAAAACGTCAACACATCAACAACTGACAGATAAAAATTCACATGATTTTTCGATTTGGGTTATTATTGGCATATCTAGGCAGTTTTTAGCTGTTCATGGCAAAAAATGTTAACAAAACACAATATATGAATACTGAGTTTAGAAATTTGATGTCTTTATTTAGCAAATTCAGAAAATACCTTTATTTTGTGTCTTGGCGAAAATTATACATAATTTCAAAATTTCACTTTTTATAATATATTTTCATAATACATGATATAGTTCGTTGAGATCAGGTTGTAGAGGAGTCTTTAAAAACAAAATATACAACATCATGGATTAAAAATAAAGATTGTGGATTATGCTAGAAATGCTTGAATCATCCTGTACATTTCAATTTGTGTTTAAAAAGCGCACATTTGAATTTAAAAGTTTACGTGTGCCAGCGTTTTTGTATATTGTTCTAAAATAAAGATACAAACATTTTTATTCCATAAGTGGTTTCCACACACTATAAAAACTTATCCGCTAGTACCAATGAATGTTAGAACTCCCTTGAATAAAGTTTTATTTGAACAATCTAAAAAACAGAAGACATTTGGAAATTGGTATTTAGAATTCTTTTAATTTGATCTGCAATGTTCTCTGTTGTCTAACGCAGTTTCTATGACAAATTGCTAAATATTGTAAGCTAGTATTTTTCGAGGTTCGATCAATATTTTAATAGTTTACATAGCTTTTGTACTATAAAATATCTTAAAAGTTGCCTTATTGTCTGATCGTTGTGGCCATTGCTTTTCAGCGATATTTGTATAAAATCTGATAATTTGAAATGATCCTATTTTGATGAAATGAAAAGATTATGTCATTTTTACTGCTAAAACTTAATTGCCAATTAAAAATATGATTTGTTTAAGATTTAATATACTAGATACAATTTTTAATTTCAAAATCATGTATTGCACCAAGTTGAGAATTCTTTCAACTAATTCTTTAGTAATATACAATTGTATTGACAAAAC